TTCGTGTGTACAAACTGAGGATCTAGTATTTGTTGACGTAGCAGCACCAGTTCAAGCAAAGAAACAGCCGGAGCAAAAAGAGATTGCCCTGCAAGCAAGCATAAGTCCGGAGAAATTCAATGTTGAAGCTCAACTGGGTACACTTACCCAAGTCTCTAGCACACAGACAACAATCGAGCAAACCAAACCGCATGAGATGTACGATGTGGAGTCTCAGTGTGGCATACTAACTACATCTGTAGCCCAGCAAACCACAGAAGATTTCAAGGACACAGGGGTAATAAATAAAAAGCTACAAGTGGAACTAACACCGGTGAATACATCGGTCGTTGTGCAGACCGATCCGGAGGTGACTACACTGAAACCCACAGTACAAATGGAGAATGTTGGAGTGCAGTGCATTCTATTACCGTCCCGGTTTGATGTTGAGGCTCAATCTGGTGTTATTAGCCGTGTACATGAAACACAAACTGTCTTGGATAAGAAGCTACCCGCGCAGACTGATGACACGTCGGTGCAATGGGATGCTTCTATTGCTGCGTTTGATTATGCCATCGAATCAGATCACACAGCACCGGATGCTATTCCCACAGTAGAAGTGGTCGCACCAATCCAAGCCGCTCGACCAACTGTGTCCACTATGAATGTTGGTACGCAAGTTTCAGTTCATCCGGACTTGTACAACGTGGAAACGCAATCTGGAGTCATTTCAAAAAGTGCCGATGTTCAGACTGTACAGTTCATTGAGGACACCAGACTAGCACATGCACCATCGACCGAAAGGGCGGTAGTGAACAAAATGGTACAAGTTTCCCTCACTCCAGCAGAAAGTGATATGGGTGGTACTCAGTCAGCTGATAGCCACACCACCACTGTTTCGTATCTGGTTCGCGGGGACCGGAAGGACTTTAGTGTGCAGGCAATTGTAACACCGGACTGCTATGACGCGGAAACCGAGTTCGGCAGAATCAGTCAGTCAACAAGCACACAAACCGAAGCTACCGGGTCAGTGGACGACACATTAGTAAGTCATAGAATAGAAAAAACTGCCAGCCAGAAACCAACAGAAAAGAAGGAAGTTCGTAATGCGAACTTGCAAACAGATATCAGCACAGTGGATGTAGCGTCCTATGTGGTGAAAGAATTACAAATCAGTTGTGAACCGCAACTATCAGACGCGTTTGTGCAGAGCGACATACCAGTAGTTACGTCCTATGTGTGTGCAAAATGTCAAGGTGGCAAGAAGACTGAAGCGGTGTCAACAAAGAACAAGAAATTCCAAGCATACAGTCCAGGTTCGGATATGGCCGTACAAACGGAGCAAGAAATTCGCATGGAACAAACCAATATGGTACAGGCAGTTGAAACCGAGCTGGTGGATAGCATAGTGACAACTGTCTCGTACGAAGAACCAGACGCGTTAAGCAATAAAAAGTTGCAAGTCCTCACGAGATCCGAAGGTGTAAACAGTGCGGTACAAACTGATTTGTCACCGACTGAGAGGACACAGCCCGATTTTATGTTGATTGATGCAGGACACCAATTCCAATCGGTCAACAAAACAGAATCGCTTCCAGTGCAATCTATCGCACCAGTGACATCTGGTGTGCCTCGATCCTCGATACTGATCAATGTCGCGCAAGACTACACAACAGCTAGCAGAAACAAAAAACTACAAGTCTCTTCATTCGAACCGGAAGGAAACAAACCGCTCATGGTGAACAAAAAGTTGCAAAACCAAGCAAAACAAGAGGAATTCGGGGTCCAAACAACTTTTGAGAACCATCTAATCGAAAAGCTGGCGACAGCTGAAACTCGAAGTGTACCGCTGATCAAGGTGGACGCAGAGTGTCAAGCCAAGGTTACTCAATTTGGAAAGAAAATGCAATTTAGCCCAGTTGGACAGGAGCAATCGTGTCAGTCTGATTTCCCGGCTACAGAGACACATGGATCAGCATCGATTACAATCACTCCGGCGACACCCACGCCCGCGCCTACGCCTAGTTTCAAACCGAGTGTAGATGAGCAAACGATGACCAATTCTGTTTCTGTACGACAGATAGGCACAGAAATGGTGGATGCTTCGTGGATTAGTCAGATTAACATCGATCTGGTAGCTAGCGTACAACAACAACCACAACAGCGTTCAGAGCAACAGACCCAAAATGTGGTGGACGAAAACCTTTTGTACGAAACTCCCAAGTTGCTTGATTCGGTCGTTCAGACGGATGAAACTGTCCCCAAGTTAGAGGCGACTGTACGAACAGAAACGACAGTCTATACAACGGAACGAAAATCACGTGACCTAAAGGATAGTGCATGCGATGCAGTCAAACCAACTTATGTGACACAAATTCTTCAGGCTGACGCGCCCGTTACAGGCATTGAAGTGACACCACAGCTGCAGCAACACAAAATGCCTACATCACCCCCGTCAATACGGGATGTAAGTTTGATGACTCCGATGAGCAGCTTGCAGCGTGACTCTTACGTAATGACCCACATTCAAATGGAAATTCCCACACAGAATAACTCCGTTCAGACAGATCCAATCACCCTAGAGGCTCCAGCAGCTGCTCCGGTCGTTCAGAAACGTCATGTCAAGATCCAGAAGGGGAGTTCGTGGCTCGATTCCCGTCTGACAAGCACAGAGACTCAGGTGGATCGTGAATCCCCAGAATCGATAGTGAGCAGCCGTCGTATGGATGTGATGGATACCACGGAATCATATGTGCACAGTCGTAACTTGTCCTCGGTAGTCGGTCGCGTAACTTCGATCACCTCACCAACCAGTTCCGTACGAGAGAGAAAACCTCGACCACATCTCATAAGTTGGGGAGTGCAATGTGCCCCGGTTACACTAGCTGGTGTAACACAAACCATAGAATCAGAAACCAATGGACGTGGTGTAGGTATTCGTCCGAGCACAACGGTGGCACCAGCGACTTCTGGACAAAGTGTTTCTGTACAAACCGAACAGGAGGCTCAGGATGACGACTACTACATCAAACGTGTAGTGACTACCATTGCCCGAAGAGGCGGCGCAACGACACATAGACGGCAAGCTCCTGTAGTACGGCAGGTGCATTCGCGTGGTCAAGCTAATCTACTTACTTCGAGCCTGCCAAGTAACTTGGACGAGGAATTTTTAGATGATGAGGAAGAATGGTCTAATCCGATCACAACGAAGAAAATTACCACGACACAAGTGGATGGATCGCGTCGTATGATTAGAGAAGAATTGATCACAGAAGAAGCACGTGACAGAGGGCGTTCGTTAGATTCGCGACTGGCACAACACGCGTTCCTCTCAGAACACGAGTTGCATGAGGTTGAAAATGTCGGTGCACACGAAGAGTTTGAATCAGATGCAGAAAACTGTTTCCGAAATCTTCTTCGACAATGGGGTCCGGTGTATCTGATGTCCAGATTGTCAAGACAACGCGCAAGTTCCGCAAGTGTGGACCGCGATTTGGGTGCATTCACAACGCGAACTGGTCGCCTAGTAGGTGCAAGGACACAGTATACATCAACCGGTAGTTTGATGGCACAACCCACCAGTCAGTATCAGCGCACAGTAGAGACACAAACAACCGGACTGGCAACACAAACTCGTCCGCCACATAAAAATAAACGAATACAGCGTGGAGAAAGTTACGTCGCTTGGACCGGTAGTCAGGAATTTGCATCCCCCGGTGTTGAAGGTCACACCACATCGACTCGTCAACGTTCAGCACCTCCCGTTGGAATGACCACAACCGTCACGGAGACTATTCACGAGCATTCAACTTACGGAATCCAGGCCATGTCTGAGGAGTTCACATGTCCCAAATGTGGTACAAGTGCACAGTTCCCTACAATGAACACTTTATCAACACAATCGCAATCATTACCGATCACACAACTACGGAACACACCAAGCCAGACTAAGTCACTGGGATACTACACCCTAGAAAATGAGGCACTAACTTTACCTGTTTATCTGAGTGATGAAGAGGTGTTCCGAGTCAATCCTATGCAAGAACTCAAAGACGATCGACAATTCTCAGTCGTAACTTGGTGTCCGGGAGATGACCGGGACAGTGAGAAGTCCAGTGAGAGTGCAACAACCACTGACGTGCCACATGACGAGGTCTGGGTTGATAGTCCTGGAAAACTTTTGGAATTGCAAGTAACCGGAGTAACTGTTCCCGGTACCAATACTGTAATTGGTGCAGCTGAAGCATTCTATCGGGGTCTATTACGCGTGGTCTATTGGGACTACACTAAAGTGGGGCCACGTCAGTCCTCTACCGAACTGGGAGTGGCGATCCCTCTTGTGGATGCGGTTATGAACCACTCAGTCAAGTTAGCCACAGATCCTGCTCAAACAAAGGCAACTCGGACAACTTCACGTGGGGAACAGACAACGCCCATTTTGGATGCACATGTTGTTTGGACTACACCAGAAATGAATCGTAGCCGCTACGTAGTACACGCAGTAAGACCGGACGNCCGGACGTGGAACAAGCCGAAATAGGCAGCGGACAAACATACAACGTGGCCAGTGCGATACGCGCAGGTTACATCGATCGGGAATCTGGGCAGGTGATTGTTGGTGTACCAAGTGGTGGACGCCGAACGACTGCCAGTCAACAAACAGAAGACGAGTCAGCTACAATTACACAACCCGAGTATTTGACAGTCAAAGAAGCTATTCGTCGAGGCATTCTTGACGCTGAATTGATACATCCAGCTTCCCCTTATCACACAGGTGAGGAACAATTGAGTGGACTGCATATGTTCTCCCCATCCCATATGCAACAAGATATGGACATTTGAGTTCCTTTGAACAACCCGCTTTAATAATAATCACTTGTCAAAGTTCCACGCGCCTCCAGGCCTCCGCTCTCACAGTGTACTTCACTGATGACCTTTGTGAATCTCTCCTTTCACTCTGATCATGTGGATATTTTATGTGGCTTGTAGTGTCTATTTCAGTACTCATCCATCCCAATTCCTATCCCAACCTCAAACAGACACCTTTCGTTGCATATTTCGAAAGTTTAGTCAGAGAGTGCCGTACAGAAGCACTGGATATCAGAGCCACAGAAGAGACCGTGAACACGTTTGACGGGAAAATCACGTGACGCCCTGCTCCCAATCCACTCCGGCATCGAAACCCATAGGAAAGGGGTATATTTATACATTTATTAACTCGTTCAATCTTTTCTTCCCGTTCGAGATAACTTTCATTCCAGGGGAAATGAGCAAACAGTAACCTCTTTTTCCGAGCCCGTATGTGATGTTTTATTGACTTCCCCACACCTATTTCGAAAAGAAATAATCGACTTTCACTTTTTTCCCCCCACATTATTTACCTTATTCCTGTTCCACCATCACCAACAACACAATTACTACCGTTACCATCACCACAACCGCTAAACCATTGCTGCACAAAACTAACTTACTGCCTTTAGTGTGTAAAACTTGCATCCGTGAATTTCGTTGCATCCGAACTGCTCGAATATATAGAATTACCATAAAAATCCAAAGGAAGCAACTATGTGAGTCACATACTTTTGTTCAGATTTCCAACTCGGAGCCGTAAATTATCGCTGAATTGTTACACTTATTCCCTGGTAAACTATATTTTCTTGAACGTTACACTCCAGTACTTCTAGGGCGATGTGATGGGCAAACAACAACATTATGTCAATATTCTCTGGCGAAACCGAGAGAGAGAGTGTTATGATCACACACACACACCGTGTGTAGAAGCGCCCAAACAATTGAACTCACAGATGATGGCAACCATAGGCAAAGTGATGCTGATAAAACGACAACCCAACTAGGATTCTACCCCACCTCCGTTGAATTCCGTTGATAAATTTGCACGCGATCTAGTGCACAACACTCACGCTCCGCTTTTTTCTAAATAACCAATAGCCATGTACTTCTGTACCTAACTGAAGCCGTGTACAGCGAAATCTGAGCCGTGTAAATCTGACATACACTTGTAATCCATATTTCAAATACCAATGCGCCTAGTGATACACTCGAATTAATTAAACAAAACAACGGTTTTTTTCGGTGGCAAATAGCGTAATACAAAATCGATTCACAATTCGCTACTTGAATCGGAACCGCGAAGTGCTGAGAATTCATTTTATTGGAAGTATAACGCTCAACTTGATTTGAAGAACCTATTCATAAACAAATCAGGTTTGGTCCTTTGAAGATAACAGAAATTAGTTTGCATACTACACTACTTAATTAAACACCACTGCGTGAAGTTTGGCTCAGAAAGTGACCACGGTCAATCGAGTATCTTCCAACCCTTTCGATCGTACACAAATGCAGCGACAAGTACTCCAAATAGCTCCTGTCCATTACTCGTAAGAGCCTACAGCAGTTTTCCTGCCGAAAATAAGCGCGATAACTTAACAATGAGAAGCCGAATATAGGAGAGTCAAAAGACCGTAGGGAAATGAACAGGCGTAGAGTCTGCGACAAACTTAGGCTAGTCGGGGCTCCACCAAACAGAAATTAGGAGAGTGCAACAGGGTTGTAAGGTGGAAAACACCACCCCCGGAAGCACCGCAAGCGCCCGCCAGACCCATACTAGAAGAGTTTGATAAACCAATAGATAGGGATCTGTTACTATCCCGAGCAGATTTAGTGTGGAGCGCCACAAAATCGTCCCCGACGAACCGCAAGCGCGGGTACCAAATAGGAGACCGCATACTTACATTACAGGACTCGAGAGTACTAGGGCTCCGCCAAAGCAAATGCCCAGAGTACCACGGGTCTTAGTAAACCCAAATGTGGTGATAATTGACGATATTTTGGAGGACCTCACGTTAGGGATGGGTTCTGAAATCAGATCGAACAAAACCGACTCAGAACAGCCTATGCTGTCACTGGGACCCGCATACCTTTCCAAGCTTCCCGAGCTAGAAGAAGCGGTGATCGCAGTAGCGGCTGGTACTCTAGCACAGCCAAAATACAGATTGTCTACTCGGGTATTGTGCCCGAGGAGAAAATCCGAATAGATGAAAGGCACTATCTGGGGGAAATGAAGCACTGGTACTATTGCGCGCCAATGCATGTAGTATTAGAAACAAATGGGCAGAGCTGACCACAGTGGCTGCGGGAACGATTGCCGACGTAATTGTCCTGTCTCAAACGTGGTTAACTCAGGATGACCACACCCGAACCAGTCTTAAGCCAGTTTACAACCCACGGACAGGATAGGATAGGATAGGGGGCATATTGGGCGTGAAGTAGCTGTCCTAGTCAGACATGATATATTCCACCATGAAGAAAAGATAGCGCAGTGCATGTAGAACGTGCAGCTGTGCTCAATATTATTGGTTCTACCTTCAGCGAGGGTTAGCATAGCAGGAGTCTACAGGAGCCCTGAAGGCACACCGGAGGACGACCAGACACTCCTAGGCGCCCTCGATAACAAACAGACACTCAAAAGGCGTTTGTATAGTGGGAGATCTCAATTTTCCGAAAATAGACTGGAATGTTGAGAGGGTGCGGACAAGAACACTGGAGAGCGCATTCATAGAATGGATGCACTCGAGGGCCCTGCAACATGTCCGGGAGTGCACTAGGTACAGAGAGGGAGATAGGCCGTCCCTTATGGACCTGATAATTACGCTAGGTAAAAGCGACCACGTAGTTATCACTACAGAACTCCGTAAAAGTAATATTAGCATATCCATGAGCTACTGGGCGATTGATGCAACGAGGCTGCAGAGCTGAAGTGGTTCCCCAGCCTGGAAAACGCAAAGATAGACCAGCAATGGAGCCTTATCAAGACAAATTTCTTGCTCCTGCAAGGTGAATTCGCTCCCCTGAAACCCAAGACAGCAAAGAACACACCACGTTGGTGGAGCCCAGCAATAAGGAGAGCGATACGGCGGAGAAATAGGAGCTGGCACACCTATAGGTCAACGGGCAGCCACAGATCCTGGGAGCAGTACACCAGGAATAGAAGCAAAGCAGTGGCAGTTCAGCGGGAGCTCAAACAACAATACGAGCTTAAGCTGGCAAATTGTGCCAACTACCAGCCAAAATGGTACTACCGCTATGGTCAATCCAAGGGAGGGCTCAGTGAATAGGTGGGGCCTCTGATATTGGCGAATGGAAAAGTAGTAACCCACAAGTTGGATATAGGACTACTTCAAAAGGGTACATAGGATGGATCAACTCGTTACTACACAATTTGACCTCCACACCTCTGGACGGGGTATCGCCGAATTTGAGGTGGAGCTGGAACAGGTGCGTTGGACTCTTGGTGAACTTAACGCCACCAAATCCGCCGAACCAGATGGCATCCGCCCAACCTTAGTTAAACGCAGCCGAAGTTCTAGATAGCCCATTCTGCCACCTCTCAAAGAAAACTCTAGAGCAGGGCAAGATACCACAGGATTGGAAAACTGCAACTGTGGTCACCATAAACAACGGGTACCGAGACAAAAAGTGGAGAATTATCGTCCAGTAAGCCTCACGAGCATCTTATGCAAAGCTCTAGAGCGAATCATCCGAGCTCAATTAGGCGAATACTTCACTCAGCACCGCCTGCTGATTGCGGCAAAGCATCGGTTCCTAAAGGAGAAATCGTATCTCAGCAATCTGTTGCACTACTTTTGTGAAGTCACAGCGAGACTAGACGAGGGTAAGGAAGTGGAAGTATGCTATCTGGACTTTAGCAAAGCATTTGACTCAGTGTCATCGCTTACTTTTGACCAAGATAAATGCTCTAGGGATAACGGGGACCATCCGCAAGTGATGAACAGCTTTCTTCTCTGACAAACTTTCGGGTTCGGGTGGGAGACGCAAACTCACCAGTGTAAACTATTCCCAGTGGGGTACCACAGGTTAGTCCTAGGCCCTCTTGCTCTACATTAATAATCCTCCTGAGCGCCTTGGCTCGTCTAGCTTTATATTTGCTGACGGTATCAAGGTTGTTGGATCAGACGGGAGAGCAGAACTAGCAATGGACATAGGTGAAGTGCTCAAGTGGTGAAGTGCCTGGGATTCGCCCCACAACATAAAAAGCGCCATGTATTGACCACTCGGGACGAGGGGCTCGTTGTGGGCAGTAGCTGCGGCGGTCTTTCACTAGGAACGACGCAGAAGGCTAGAGATTTTGGAATCATAGTTACATCGAACTACAAATGAATAGAACAATGTGCTACAGTGGCACACCGCGCCCGTAGAGAGCTTTTTAAACTGCGGGTCGGCACTAACATGTAGGAAACCGGAGGTATTCGTACCCCTATACAAGGCGATTATTCAACCTCATCTAGAGTATTACATACAAGCCTGGGCTCCCTCCTTCAAAAAGGATGCCGTAAGTCTCGACAGGGTTCAACGATTAGCCACAAGGATGATCGAGGGGTAGCGAGGAAAGCCGTATAGGGCAGACTGCAGGATCTCGGACTCCTCCTAGGAAAGAAGAAGACTCCGAGGTGACCTGATAGACATTCAAAATTATGTATGGCTTATCAGGGACTGATCAGGCAGTGTTCTTTGAGAGGTTGCAAAGTAGCACTAGGAGGCACGCGTATAAGTAGAAGAAATTGCGCACGAAACTAGCGGTGCACTCAAACTTCTTCAGCAACAGGTTAGTCAACTCGTGAAACAAGTTACCACGGGAGCTGGTGGAACCGGGGAGCGTAAATGCTTTCAAGGAGCTCGATAGGCGCTGATTGGACTTATTTCCCGAACTAGACACGTAGGATTAGGCTTCAAATCATTTTTCGGTTCTTTAGTTTACTAACCACCCCAACAAAGGAAGGCATCCAAATGTGAGGTCTCTCGCC